ATTAACCTGCTCCAGGAAATTGCTTTTAAGTCCCCTACTTTAATGCTATTTAATTGCTATTTTAGTTATAGATATTTAGCTTGTTCATATGTTTAATGTATATTCCCTGCACATTCTTGCATTGTCTTTTTTTTTTACGTTTGTACACATGCATGTCTGTTTATACAAGAAGCATCAAAGCTGAAGGTGTATCACATTCCAAAATAGACGCCTCCGGTGCAGACAGCTATATTGATTATAATGGGAGTGATGATTTATGTTTGACCACACTGTTCTGCTCATGTTTGGTGTACACATGGTGTCAAAAACACGCCAGGCATGAGTATATTTTAGAATTATTTATAATTATACAGGGCTTTTTATGACTGACTAGTCATTCAGACAACCCAAATACTAATCAGTTTTATAAATATATAATTTTGCACATCCCTACTTCAAAGGTAGTAATAAAATTTCATTATATAGTGTGATTTCTTCATAATTTCCTTGTTTATATGACTGTTAACCAAACAGGCAATGTATCATCACATGTGAAGTACAGTTCATTAGCTGAAAAGACAAACACATTTTAGCATGCAGGCTGGAGGCACAGGTGCCAGTGTTCAGTGTTGTGCTGTGCTGATTTGGGCCCAATCATATTCATCAAAGCAGAACCATCGTAATCTGCTAAAGCCCCTCCATTAAAACAGCAGCAGCGTGGCACAAATATATGATTTAAAATAAATGCCCAGGAGTTGTTTTACTTCAGGGGGTTTAGCTTTCCTTTAAACTGTATTAAATCTTATTGTGTCTTAATTTATGGGCAGAGAAGATGTTGCTTGATGACATTGATTTGCTTCGCTGAAGCCCAACAGGGGGTGTGTGTGTGTGTGTGTGTGTTCACTGTTCATCTAGCCCAGAGCATATGCGTATGAATGGAAGTGAATGGAACGTAAAGTCTTTTTTAATCCCCATCTGTCACGATGACAATGCAGATGAAGGCAATCCTTGATCATGTTTTGACATTTATGTTCTCCTTGTAAAACTATTAGCTTACACGCGCTGCCACTATTGAGCCAGAGATAATGCTTTGAATGTGTGTGTGCTGTCATTAACCAAACTGCTTACAACTCTAGTGATTTTCCGCTCAAAATCAATATTTTCCTCCCTTTTTTTCCAGTTGTCATCAAGGTTATTTTAGTTTGATTTATTTTCTAATTTAGCTTTTGTCATCACAAATTTAGCTTAGTTCAGTGTTCAATTTCACTTTGTTAGCATAATTCTTATACATACATATACAATACATAACCAAAACTGTTATGAAAAAAGAAAAAGAAATATAGTAGTAATATAATATAATGTAATATAATAATTTCTGCTCTATTTAGGTTTTAGTGGTTTTTAAAATTTGATTTTATGGCGATATGATATAATATATTTTTCTACAAACAAAGTACATTTCATGATAAAAGTTTATTTTCTCTAGTTTCAGTTTCAGTGTATTTAGTTTTGAATTTAAGGTTAGTATTAATATAATATAGGAATTTAAATAAAAAAACAAAACTTTTTTTCTTCAGTATAATTAGTTTCGATTTTATTGTTTTTTATTTTATTTTCATGGCAATATAATATAATATAATATAAAAATAGGCTATAATTTCATGATAAAAGATTATTTTTATTTTTTATTTTTCAGTATATATGTAGTTTTGATTTTCATTTTATTGTTAGCAGTATGCTGATTTAAATGATTTCATCTGATTTAAATACTTTGGTCACTGACTTTGTATACCTTTATGTTTTTGAGCGGAATTTCTCTTTCTGCTGCTTTTTGCTTGCCACTAACCCGTAGCTATCCGCCGCACAGGTGACTGACCAGCTTCTGTGGGATTTGATGTCACCTTTAGATCGGTTCAACTGAAGATGGAAACACTGGAGTCCGAGCTGACGTGTCCAATCTGCCTGGAATTGTTTGAGGACCCCCTCCTGCTGCCCTGCGCCCACAGCCTGTGCTTCAACTGCGCCCACCGCATCCTGGTCTCGCACTGCTCCAGCACCAAGCCTCTCGAGTCCGTCTCCGCCTTCCAGTGCCCCACCTGCCGCTACGTCATCACGCTCAACCAGCGCGGCCTGGAGGGCCTGAAGCGCAATGTGACGCTGCAGAACATCATCGACCGCTTCCAGAAGGCCTCCGTCAGCGGGCCCAACTCCCCCAACGAGAGTCGCCGGCCGCGACCCTACAGCACCACGCTCGGCGGGAGCACGAGGGGCAGCCCCGCCAGTAGCGCCATGTCCCTAGAGCGTGTCGGCTGCCAGTTCTGTGATCAGGAGCCCCCGCGGGAGGCCGTCAAGACATGCGTGACGTGCGAGGTGTCGTACTGCGACCGCTGTCTGCGGGCCACGCACCCCAATAAGAAGCCCTTCACCAGCCATCGTCTGGTGGAGCCGGTGGCGGACGCTCAGCTGCGTGGGCTGGCCTGCCTGGAGCACGAGAACGAGAAGGTCAACATGTACTGTGTGGTGGACGACCAGCTGATCTGCGCTCTCTGCAAGCTGGTGGGAAGGCACCGCGAGCATCAGGTCACCTCGCTTAGCGATCGCTTCGACAAGCTCAAGGTGAGTCCTGAACTTGATTCTTAAGGCAAGACACCCCAGGTAAGAAAAAAAATTAACTAATAGATATACAGTGGGTACGGAAAGTATTCAGACCCCCTTAAATTTTTCACTCTTTGTTATATTGCAGCGCTGCAATATAACAAAGAGTGAAAAATTTAAGGGGGTCTGAATACTTTCCGTACCCACTGTAACCATGCTTCCCCATTTGAGTTGCAATTTTCTTAGTGTTACAAGTTTTCTGTAATGTAATTTTTAAATATGCAAATGAGGCATTGTCTAATTAAAGGAATAGTTCACGCAAAAATTAAAATTTGCTGTAAATTTACTCCTCCTCAGGCCATCCACGATGTTTTTTCATGACATTGCATCACTTGCTCACCAATGGATCCTCTGCAGTGAATGGGTGCCGTCAGAATGAGAGTCCAAACAGCTGATAAAAACATCACGATAATCCACAAGTAATCCACACCACTCCAGTCCATCAGTTAACATCTTGTGAAGTGAAAAGATGAAGTGTGTTTGTAAGGAACAAATTCATCATTAAGAAGTTTTTTTTTAACCTCAAACCATTGTTTACGGCAAAAATTTGAATCCTCTATCCATAATAATTGTGTTCTCCAGTGAAAAAGTAATCTCATCTAAATCAGGAGAGAAATGTGCACAGATCAAGCACCATTTGCATGCCAAAACAGTCTAAAACCATTTTAAACAAATATGTTGGTGGATTTTGATGTGAGAGGACAACAGAGGATGGTCTTTTTTGCTGGAGGAAGTGTTATTTTGGATTTTGGCCCAGAAGCGACGATTTAAAGTTAAAACACCTTTGTTTCTTATTTGTTTCTTACAAACGTACAGCTTTTCAAGACGTTAATTGATGGACTGGAGTCGTGTGGATTATTGTGATGTTTTTTTCAGCTGTTTGGCCTCTCATTCTGACGGCACCCATTCACTGCAGAGGATCCATTGGTGAGCAAGTGATGTAATGCTACATTTCTCAAAATCTGTTCTGATGAAGAAACAAACTCATTTAAACCTTGGATGGCCTGAGGTTCAGTAAATTTTCAGCAAATTTTCACTTTTGGTTGAACTTTTCATTTAAATATGCACTAATTTGCATACATTTTCAGAACAGAAATCTAAACATTTGATAAAGCGAGGTTCAAAGTTTGTTTCATTTTGTTTTGTTTTTACAGCTGGGATTTTTGATATCTTTTCTTTTTCACTCCATAAATCAGAAAATATTGTCAACAGGCAGAAAAAATGACTATATGAACCATATGAAAAATGATGTATGAACAAATCCCTCTGTAAAAACCTTCAAAATGTAAGTGGGAATAAAGCTGTTAAGGTTTTGTGCATCTAATGCTAGTAAAGTGGAGAAAGCAGCTTTTAAATTGAAATCTACAGACGCAAATAGATAAAGTGCAACAAGATAAAAATTTATTTTGGATGTTTTCTTTCCATTGAAGAAAAAGACAAATTGCCCAAAATCTCAAAATTGACCAGTGCATGAAAAAGCAGTGTTTTTGCCTGCAGTGTCTTGCATTACACAGTTGTTTTCACTATTATTAGCTCTTTATTATAGAAGCAGCTCAGACTCCTCTAAGTGAGCAACAGAAAGGGTTCATGTTGACCGGTTTTGAGTGAAATAGTTCAAGGTGATCTCTTTGGTAAAATCTTTGTTGTCCTGCATCATGTATTGCAACCATAATTTATGCAAACTCGTTTTTTTTTCTCTTCAGTAAGCTAATTTCATTTCATTAGCATCAACCTAAATCATTCTTTGCGATATTTGTTGGCCTTCATAGTGGAACGCTTCATGCATAGTATCAGCCAGAACTGCCCAGCTGTTCCTTTGAGCAAAACTCATTATCATATTAGATGAGTCTGCAGTCCCTAAAGCCATTCTCTGTTCGGCACTGAAACGCAATGCTGACCTGCTACAACGACCCTGATTGCTGAATCAGTGCTAAAACACAGAAGCTCACACAGAGCTCCCAACCTGTGAATACACTCGCACCCCTCAGTATAATCATTCGCAGCTGCAGAAGGCCAGAATTACATCCGTGCCTTGTTTTTTCAATGCCACCATAACTTCAGAGCAAGTTTCCTCCAGATCAACCTCAATTATCCCTGCGAAGGTCGAGTTACAAGAGAGGAGCGGGTTAAGGCCGCTAGCGTTATGTGCTTGTTAAGTTCTCATGGGGTGGATTTGTAAATACGAGCCCACGTAGAGGCCTCTACACTGTCGTAATCTGGCTCCCATGAATAGGCCGCCATTGACTTCTGCATCAGCATTATAATAGCATGCATAGAGGGCACATGTGATCTCGTATCCCGGTTGACCTCTTTGTTCACACAAGCTCGCACAAAGGAAATTCCGATCATTGACGCTCGCCCCATCTGGTTTTTGAAGAAAACGACGCGGCTCTGCTGAAACTGCCTCGATTGTGCTAGACGAAGTTCATTGTGTGTTGCTGAAAGTCAATACCTGAGAAAGTTGCTCCTCTTTTGTCCCAAGGTCTTCATGCAGGGAAACAGAATAGAGGCTGGCAGTATGCAAAGGTTACAGCATCCAGATCGACATTTAATATCCTCTAGGAATCCCGGCGGACTGAGAGGATTACCTCGGTTTTGAATGACTCACTGGAATGTTCTATCCATAATTACCTCTTGTGCCGTAGATGCTTGTTGTACACATTCCGCATGGAACCTGTAACAGTCTTGACTCGTTCCGTTTAAAAAAGTTATGCTAGGCCTAAAATAAGACGTCGGTTCTAAAATGTACTTTAATGCACTTTTAATGCAAAACGTCTGGATTGGGGTTTGTATCTACATTGCAGAGGCTTATTTGAATGTTCCCCTTCCGAAGCTTTGAACCTGTCTAACTTTGAACTTCCAATCCACAACCTGAAGAGAGAGAGAGAGAGAGCAAAGACGCCGTCAGGGCTCAGGGCTTCAAACTTTTAATCTTCTTCCGGCTCAAGTAAAATGAGAAATCCTTGTTTGTACGTAAGCTTCATGGTGGATGATGATGATTCAAACTGTTCCACGCGTTTAGATGAGCAGAATTGCATATTACAGTTATTGTGAAGCCAAACAGCAGGCTCTCCTGCAATAAAGTTGTATAGGTTTGCACATGCTCATGTCCTGAAAAAAGTTGCATTTGGCCCCGAGTAAATTTTTTGTTCATATTTTGCTTGTATGATTCATGTTTTCCTTTCTGCTAAATAATAATAAGTGTTTTTAGAATGTATTCTATGTGTTTTGAACAGAACTTATTCTTATTTATTCTTATTCTGAATTATTAAGAAATGAAGAGACACAAATTAAGTTTAAGGCTATTTAAATGAATTAAATATTTAATTATGTAGGCCTGAGAATGGGGGCTTATGATAACTGTGAGTAGTTCTCATTAGAAAGTAATAGGGATTATAGTTGTGTTTACAGTTATGCTTATGATGAAATTGTTTTTATAGAATTAAAAAACATCATAGAGATTTATGTTGCTTTCAACTAAGCACAACCTTATTTTTTCTCACATATATGTGACCCTGGACCACAAAACCAGTCATAAGGGTCAATTTTTTAAAATTGAGATTTATATGCCATCTGAAAGATTTTCATTGATGTATGGTTTGTTAGGATAGGACAATATATTTGGCTCTGATACAACTATTTGAAAATCTGGAATCTGAGGGTGCAAAAGATCTAAATATTGAGAAAATCGCCTTTAAAGTTGTCCAAATGAAGATCTTAGCTATGCATATTACTAATCAAAAATTACGTTTTGATATATTTATGGTTGGAAATTTACAAAGTATCTTCATGGAACATGATCTTTACTTAATATCCTAATGATTTTTGGCATAAAAGAAAAATCGATAATTTTACCCATACAATGTTTTTTTGGCCATTGCTACAAATATACCCCAGCGACTTAAGACTGGTTTTGTGGTCCAGGGTCACATATAAAGTATACTTTAAGATTATACTTCAATTTGCATCTGGTTCATTTTTTTCATGGCAAAAGTACATTTAATTAGGCTAACCACATTATCGTTCAAAAGTCTGTGAATATCCAATATAATATGCAATAATACATAATAATTGATGTTTCCTGTGCATCAAATCATAGCATCAAGCATATTAGAATGATTTCTGATGAATTACGTGACACTGATGATTGTAAATAAATAAATAGCTTTGTCATCAAAGAATAAATGCCATTAAAATATATTAAAATAGAAAACTTATTTTAAATTGTAATAATACTGTAAATAATTGTAACAATATAATATAGAATATGATTTAATATATAATACAGTAATATAATATTTTCACAATATTAATATTTTTACTGTATTTTAGATTAAATAACTTTAGTATTGATGAACCTACACTCTAAAAAATGCTGGGTTGTTTCAACCCAACTTTGGGTCAAATATGGACTTAACCCAGCAGTTGGGTTAAATTTTTTAATTAAAATTTTAACCCAAAAGTTGGGTTAGTCCATATTTGACCCAAAACTGGGTTGAAACAACCCAGCATTTTTAGAGTGTAGGAGGCTTCTTTCAAAAACTATAAAAAATCTTATGACCTCAAACTTTTTAACGGCAGTATGTAAAAATCTTTTTGAAAATTGGATTTTCAGTGTTGATGCTCTCAGACGCTTTGGTTGGACGCAGCTAATTGGTTGAAGAGCAGGTACTTCAGTCTTTGTGTGCTATACTTCAAGAAGCTAATGAGCTGCCATTCTTTTAAAACCTCATCAACACCTCTTCATGCACTCTTCACTTCTAAACAGCTGCAGAAAGGAGCCAAGACAAATATTGTTTAGGCGGTCGTTGTCCATTGCACTCAGCGCGCATCTTCCATCCGCCTATTGATCCCACCCCGTCTCCTGCGTTTGAACGTGACTTACATGAGTAACGTCGGACGGCGAGGCCTTCAAAGCATGACAGCACTCTCGCAAATGCTCAGGGATTAGGTTTTACAGG